AATTCCAGTTCAAATTGGAAAGAACTGTTTGGCTCCTTTTATGAAAGATAAAATCTTAAACCTGTTCAAACATGGTTGATCAAATCCAGTTCAAAATTGGAAAGAACTGTTTGGCTCCTTTTATGAAAGAATAAAATCTTAAACCTGTTCAAACATGGTTGATCAGATCCAGTTCAAAATTGGAAAGAACTGTTTGGCTCCTTTTATGAAAGCATAAAATATTAAACCTGTTCAAACATGGTTGATCAAATCCAGTTCACGAAAGTTATTTTGTTGTTTTGTTTCGGATATTCGCGCGAGCTACGAAAGGGTTATCTTCGTTATTCGTCCGTAAATCTGTCCGTCAACTCTTGGACTACTCTAATCGAATAGTGGGATTTGACCGTCACCCCTATAACTCACCCAGAAAGTACGAAGCGTAAGTTTACTGTAACGAGATGCGAACCGTGGAATCTCGAATTCACAGTCCGGTACGCTAACCTGAAGGCCACGCCCGGCCCATTCACGAAATTAATGATTGATTAGTATATAAACACACACACACACATGAAATTAGGAGAGACAGAAATCAAAACAAGCGGAGTTCTATTCTAAGCAACATAGCAATTAAGATCTTACCAGTGAATCGAATGAGTCTTCGAAAAACCATGTGCATTTTACATCCCACACAGCCTGGTCGAATAACCTTACGTGCCTTGCTGGAGAAGATGAAGTAGCCTAGCTCTCCCAGAAGCAACTGTGTTTATCAACAAGGACAAAAAAAAATCAATTATTAAAGAACAATTTATTTCGATAAATTAACAAATACTTATTTAACGTGCCGCATTACGGTAAAGATAAGTAACACTACATCAGGTTATGTATATCAAATCCATTGAACTGTAATTCAAAATATTTGTTAAAGATATAGTAAATATTGCCCTGATTTTTTTTTTTTTTTCATGACTTCCTCAACTGTTTAAAACTTTGTTTGGGACGATGTTTCATTCTCGTGAAGCTGGGGATTAGCGGTTAGCGTTCCGAACTGAAAGTCCGATGGTTCACATCCCCTTACAGCTAAATCGCGCTCCGTACTTTGGGGCCGTGGGCAGGGTATAGGAGTGACAGTCACATCCCGCCATTCGATTAGCGTAGCTCAAGTCTTAGTGGTGAATGTTGCTGACTAGCTGCCTTCCCACTACTCTAGTTCAAAGCTATGGACGGCTAGGGGTAGATATCCCTTGTGTACTGTTGTGCGTATATCCGAAGCAAATATACAAACCTAAGCCTGGGTTGTACAACTGACGGCCCGAAGACCACATCGGCTCGCCATCCATCGGATAAAAATTATAAATAAATAGCTTTTATTTGTTTGTTTGTTTGTTTGCTGTTAAGAACAAAGCCTCACAATGGACTATCTGTGCTGTGCCTACCACATATATAGAAATCTGGTTTTCAGCATTATAAGTCTGAATTACCGCTGAATCACAAGAGGTCAATAAATAGCTACTCTTTACATACATACATATATACATATATGTGTGTGTATGTTTAGAGTTTTCGCGTAAAGATACACAAAGATAAGGCAGCTGATCAACAACATCCACCACTAACTCTTGCGCTACTTTTGTTTGCCTGAAAACTGACTATCAAAGGTGAACACAACAGATAGCCCGATGTGGCTTTGCTATAACAAGCACACACACACACATACATTGAATTTGAGGCTTAGCTACTTAATTTTGTTACATGTTACTGTGTTGTTTAATGGCAATAACCCTGAGAAAAGCCATGATGTATTATCTATTCATAACTAGTGCCCGACTGTTAAAACAGCACTCAGAATAATGCGTGACACTCAGAGTTGAACAACTTTGTTCTAGAGAAAAACTTATGATCGAGACATTCTAAAATAAGCTGATGAGGCTGATTAATTTTAACATAACCTTATTTTAACCAGTGTTAAATGGGAGTTTTTCTACCATTGAAATGACAAACGATAGTGAGCAAACATATACTGTAAGCTAGTTTGAAATATCCATAAATAATATTGATGTTAAAGAGAAGTTACAAAACTCACCATTCTACAGCGTTATTTAAATCAAGTGTACATGTGTACTCTTTACTTACAAGCGGCATTTAATGATATTATTATGAACATAATAAAAAAAAACGCATAAACAAAACAAGATGACATACACCACCATTCCCTGTTTGCCCCTGAAGAAGAGAGGTCCACCTTTTAACAAAGTCGCGCACAAACTAAGTTTAATAAAAATTGTATCAGCTGTAAATATTACAATCCCGTCACTAAAAACAAGAAATGATAACTGCAGTAGGAAAACAACAGATAAACAATTAATGATTATTTAAAGAGTGAGTTTTAAATACTCATGCACATGACATCCGAAGCTTAACCACACATAGCTCCACCATCTTCAGTGAGTTTTTCGCATGATGGTTATCCTTTAAAAATGTTAAATAACAATCCTGGTATTATTTTAGTACTGGTAAAAATAATAAAGCTCTATAGTAATCTCCATTATATATATACACAATTTAATTATGGGTGGTGGTTGGGTGATATTTTTAGCTGTACTGTCAAACCATGCCAAATCAAGCATTAGCCAAATATTACACACACAGAAGACACCAAAACATTCATTTTCATAAGAAAACATACTAATTATCCATTTTTCTGGCTTGGTACAAATTTTACTTACCAATGTCACAGGCAAAGCTAAAGAAACAGCATACAAAAAAGTAGGAGAAATCTCTAAAGTTACAGTCGAATTCTGTGAAAGTACACTCTTTGGATAAACAATGGCTTCATCATTGCAAACAAATCCACGAAGAAGAACCGGGAATGATGATTCAAATCTGTAAGGAAAATAAGTACATTTCTGTACACATTTTTGTATGCGAGTATACACTATGTTTTCTACAACCTGTTTTAATATAGAATTTTTCAAAACTTATTTATTCTGTTATTCTCAGTTTTAACAAAGAACGTCGATTAAGAATGTCACTAAATTCCTTTCGCTCTAGATACCTATTGTTTAGGGTCATTTCCCTAAGGTATCATATTTATATTGCCTTGGGCAAGGTTCCAGCAAAGTTGTGTGTACTATGTGTGAAAGTAGACAGTGACCTTTTCCACTGGCAGGTCGGGTGATGTCTCCCTTATATTTCATTGGGAATGATCAACAGTCCCATAGGTAGTACATATGAGTTTGGAGAACCATGATTGCTGTTTCGTCTATGATATATTTTTTTGGACTGAAACATTTTTTAGAGATCTAAAAATTTTACAAGATTCTCAAAAGATGAATAGAGAACTCCCTCTTTACAATAAAGTAACCGTCCTTTGTCCATAGACACATTATTTTGATTGTATTTGTGAGTCTAAACAAAGATTATTTGATTGTGTCTCAGATTATGCCCAGTCTCTTTCATTCTTGAACGCAGTCAGAGTCAGAGAATTTAGATTTACTCCGTTATATATTTTATATCGGACAACTTGTTGTTCTTTGGAGCCTATCATATCATTTTTACGGAAAATTGGCTTTTACTGTAGCCAATCGGAAAATTTAATGATGTATATATGATAGTGTTTGCTAGCGACATGTGGAAGATATCATATATATGATAATACTTTTATTAAAGTCCTATTTTGAAAACTCTTTTTTAAAAATTTGTTGATTTCAAATATTTTCGCGCTATCTGCATTTCTAAAACAGTTGTATAATGATCTTCGAAATAAAAAACATTTCACGAACTTATTTATTTTCTTAAGACATATTCATGAGTCAGAGAAAATAATACACTAGTATATCTAAAAGCATTGTAAATAATTATTAAACTTATATATTTATAAAACGAACTTGAACTGATTTTTTTTACATATGGCAAATTGAGAAAGATTAATCATTCATAGGTGAGAAAAATAAATGTATACGAGTTATAAAGCAAACACTGTAGCCAGTTATTTAGCTAAAAGTCAAATACATCATAAAAATGTTTTTTTTTTTGGTTTTACAACAATATTTAAAAAAAACATTTAAGAACTATTTCCCTTATAGATTGTTAGAACTTGTATCGCAGTGGATAGTATTGACTCAGATTTTTCATGAAAATAATTTATTAATAGTCAATATAAATCACTTAGAAGTTAGAAATAGAATTGCCGCCTGGAAAATATAAAATATGTCATATCAATATTTTTAAAAGCAATACGACACATTTAAGCTCCCTGGCTCAGTGTACGTCAGCAGGCTTACTACGCTAAAAATTAGGGTTCGATATCAGTGATGGGCTACGCACATATAGCCCTTTGTGTAGCTTAATAAGATTAGATATACTATTGAATTACTATAGACACAGATAAATGGCCTAAAACGTTGGTATAAACTTTTTATTATAGTTTTTATGCAAAATAAAATAACATAAAAGGAGGTTCCAAAAACCTGATTATTCTTTTTTTAAAGACAAAAGAGGTTTTAAGCATTTTAACTGAGAAACTTGCTATGTATATTTCTAGGCTCATGAGAAGGCGAAACGCTTAAAACGCCCTGTCACATATGTAAAACAAGGATAGGTATGAAATCTAAGGCTTATGCAATTTTCTAAGGCGAAAGACTACACTGTTAAAAATTAAAAAAAAACTGCCAAAGCACTTACCTGAGAAAATAGGCCAAAGCAGTTATACCTCCAAGTACAAGGACTTCTAGTATAAAAACTGGAATAATGTTTAAATTTATTTCGTACACCTTATCATCATCTGTCGACTCTGATTCATCATCAGCCTGAATTGGTTCAAGAATGTTTTCTCCAGGCTTATGGATTTCCTCATAGTTAGCAGTCTGGCCACGTGGGCTGGGGCTTCCACTGTACATATTTTTTGACAATGTCTCCTTTCGAATTCTAGGTTCTTTGATACTTTATATTTTAGTCTGAAAGAATTGACATTGGTTGAAAACGAAAATCTCAACATGTCAAATGGTTTAGAAGCACGTTCTGATGATTTGAAATTAGCAAATCTTTGTCTAAACCTAAAAGTCATCATATAATGTTACCATATCAGATTTTAAAGAAATCACAAGCAAAAAATAATAAAAGTTTTCTAGTTCTAGTATGTTGTTACTCAAATTTAAGTTAGCAACCAGCTTCATTACAACAAAGATAAATGGATGTATGTGTGTAAGTAAATGTGCATCATTTCCACCACTTCTTATGTTTTCCATTTAGTTTACTCAACATCATACTTTTTATACTCACTAAACTTACTTGCCTAAAGCAATGTTGCTAAAGTCCATCCAGAGGTCGGGGTCAACAACATTGTGGATTCAGGATCTTCCAAACACAAACAATCCACGGTTATTATTATAGGATACTACTTCGTACAAACTTTAGAATATAGTGTTCATCTATGGGTTTCTCTTGGTAAAATTTACTGACAAGATCGTTTCGTGTCTAAGCAGACTGTTCAGTGCAAGTTCCATTAACTATTATGTTTTAGGATATTTTATTTAATTTCAGCTTTCCGTTACACTTTCATTCTGCGATGACCAGGCACTGTTTTCTACGATATGCATCTACCCGATTGTCTCAGTAAATCACATATACAGGAGTGGTTATAAAATAAAGGTGGCTATTTGGAAGAGTCTGTTGATCGAACCGTGAAACGATGATTGAAATCTTTTGGGTACATGTAAAAAAGAACCACGGAAGTGCATTTCATTGGTTTCTGGAAATAATGCTAGAGCACTTTTATAACACGTCAATCCTGACAATGGTATTAAATAGTGTCAGTTAAATACCACATTGGGGCCATGGACAATTTCATTTTTGTGCCCCCTTTTTCAACAGTGAAATTTTATCCAAGTATAAAAAATACGAATGTTTCTATTCCTAATTTTTAAAAAATCAATTTATGTTCAATATCAATATTCTTAATTTCATATTCATCATAACTCAAAAAAAAACAAAAATAATTTCCACAGGTGTGTGTGTGTGTGTGTGTGTTTTTTTTTTTAGTTTTGGTTTTTGTTATAGCAAAGCCACATCGGGCTATTTGCTGTGTCCACCGAGGGAATCAAACCCCTGATTTTAGCATTGTAAATCTGAAGACTTACCGCTGTCCCACCGGGGGACCACAGGCGTATGAATTTAAACTTCATACGCAGATTTCGAAAATAATATTAATTTTTTTTCTATCATTTAAGGGTTTTTTACAAATTATTATTTCCTTTACCACAATAAACATTTTTTATTATCATGTTTATTATTATTAAAATGCAAACAAACTAAAGAAAAGGGATGAACATTGATGTCAAACGAATATGCATCCTCGTTCATCCTGATTTTTGTGTGTGTGAAATCTACGTCTTTTAGTCTCCAAACCAGGTGTTGTAGTCTTTATTTTATGCATTGCGTTATGACGTTTTGCGAAAAATCTGTACATGATGGAGAAAAATAGTTATCATTTACGGATTTATCATACATGAATTACTGTACATATAAAAATTTCACGACAATAAAACCATAGCAGTGTTATTTATATAGCATAAACAATCGTCAAAATTTGCATTATATGTTTTAGAGCACTCTTCAGGAGATGAACATGACATTTGATATCATGAATTTGTCTTTAAGAAACGCTCATAACTTGGTTACACTAAGGATTTTCGTTTGTTTGGTGTTAAACACAAAATTACACAATAGGCTATCTTTTCTTTGCCCATCACAGGTAACAAAACCCGGTTTCTAGCATTATAACTCTACAGACTTACCGCTGTACCACTAGGGGACTACATTTAGGTAACGTTACATATAGAAGAGAAATAATATCTTTGGGTAAATTGCAACAAGAAATTTGCTGTTGTGCCCCAAGAACGAAACTACTGTTTCGTCACAAACCTATGTGTCAATTTCATATCAGCCGGCATTGGTGAAGGTATACTTAGGAGTGATTACAGCAAAACAAAATTTACATGTGATTGTTTGTTTGTAATTAAGCACAAAACTACACAATGGGCTATCTGTGCTCTACCCACCACGGGTATCGAAACCCGGATTCTAGCGTTGTAAGTCCGCAGACATACCGCTGTGCCACTGGGGGGCATTTACATGTGAAAGGAAGATAAATGTTCTTGCTGTATGTGATCGTAAATCATCAGTCTACCTTTACTGACGTTAACGTATAAATCACATTTGACTAAACTACTTCAAGAATTTATTTATTATATTGATTCAGAAATTATGGACAGTTTCTCCAAGTCTGTTTTCTAAATACCTTTTTGTTTGTTTTTTGTAAGAATGCAATAATATATTTCATGTTTGATAAACTAGCGGAATGTTCTTTTTTTTATAAAGTAAATGATAAAAAAAAAACAATAAGTATGTTTTTACTACCATCTGTAGGTCGTGATATACTGCTGTGGTACTTCCTCGTCTAAAAACGCTTTATTTCTTCGCTGGTTTAACATCGATTTTTGGCACGTGCAAGTTTGGGTGTTGAACAATTATCGATTAGTTTTGAGTTCTGTAAATGTCAGGATCTAGTCTTAGTTCCATGTTTTCATAAACTAGTTGTTGAGGTTCCTTATTAATTCATTATGAGTGATATTATCTGTATTTTTTTACAACGTTCCATTACGAAGATTAAGCAGAATACATAAGTGAAACGAGTTTAATTTTGTAAACAGCACTAAATAAAGGGTCTTTTCACTTTTCATAGTTAGTAACACTATAGTTTTGGTGAGATCCAAATAGTTTTTGTAACTTCACTTAAATACTGAGGTCCCTTACAACACAAAATGCTTTAAAAGGTTTGGTTTGGTTTGTTATGAATTTCGCGCAAAGCTACACGAGGGCTATCTGCGCTAGCCGTCCCTAATTTAGCAGTATAAGACTAGAGGGAAGGAAGCTAGTCATCACCATCCACCGCCAACTCTTGGGCTACTCTTTTTACCAACGAATAGTGGGATTGCCCGTCACATTGTAACGCCCTCCCGGCTTAAAGGCGAGCATGTTTGGTGAGACGAGGATACAAACCCGCGATCCGCAGATTGCGAGTCGAGTGCCATAACCACCTGACCATGTCAGACCGTGAATTTTCGGATTCAAAGTCAGAGCATGTTAACCACCATTCCACGCCCGACTCCTCAAATGCAGAATATGCAATATAGTGCTTAAATAAAGACAATATAATATATATATATAAATTCTTATTGGTATCTTATTGGATGTTTAGTAATGTATTATTACCAGCATTTTATCTGAAGACGCAGTTTTAGTCCCTGCCAGACATAAAATAGATCCTTTGACATATCGAACAGAGACTATCCATTCTTTAGTGATAACAACATAACCAGAATATAGACTCAAACAAATATTGTATTTAGTAGCCACACGATCAATACCGCTCAATAATAGCGGTTGCAATGATTAACGTAAGTATGCATAATGAATGAATCACAAATATGGTAAGCGATGGGTAGCTACCTGGAAAAATTGAATACGACAAAGAAAAATTCGAAAACTAAATAACATAGCTACCTAGTCCTCAAAATGTTGTGGGAAAAATCCGTTTCGGCATCGAATACAGAGAATTTATGTAACTAAATATTTTGTGTCATTTTAAATTTATTTTAACATAGTGGTAAATTGTAGCCCGTGAATTGTTTGTAAATTATGAAACAAACAAATAGCTTCAAATTTCTTTGAGTTGCATTCAGAAGCTAAATCATTTTCAGCGCAATAAACCTCTATAATGATTTTTTTTAAGAACCTCCCACTCCAATTTGACTCCAATTTCAAACGATGTTGGCCATTTTATGTTCATTGGGCGTTTGTTATTTAAAAAAAAAACAAGTTTAGCTTTCAAATTGCTTGACTTTTTTTAAGCCTTTTACTACTGGTATGCATCATTTTGAGTAATTTTATTTTGGTCAAAGAAGAAACAAATTTGAGGTAAATCGCATAGCGGATTCCAGCAGCAACAAATTGCAGTATTGAGGGTATTTTGTTAAAATTGTTTTTTGTGCTTCATATGTTATTAGAGACTCCGTAATCAACAAAGTCAGGACCCACAAATAATTTAGGACATAAATAGTTTAGAAATAATTATTTAAAACCTGATGGGATCCCCATTGGTAATTCTATGATTAATCTGTTCATACTCATGTTTTACCATTGTCGTGATACAAAAATAATAATATTTTAGTTTAAAAGTATTAACAATTGTCTTGTAGAAACGCAATAAATATAAGAGAAAAGCCAAGTAGAATATTAATTTTTATTTATTTTGGTTGATCAAAATCTCTGTTAATGTATTGTTTTTGCTATCTTTAAGGTGTAAAAATTTTATAAACTTATCGCTTAACAATTAACAAACAAACTTTAAATATACAATTTTATTGTTAGGAGAGAAGTTTCTAGTTTACAAGTTTGTTTGAATTTAATCGCAAAGCTACACAATTGGCTATGTGCGTTGTATCCACCACAGGTATCGAGCCCCACATTTTTAGAGTTGTAAGCCTCCAAGTTTACCGCTGAGCCACTGGTGAGAGGCAAATTTACAAGTCAAACTGGGGGGGGGGGGGTCGCAATAATACATAATGAGCTAGATGTGGTGTTTCCACCACGAGGATTAAACCTCAAATTTCAGCTTTAAAAGCTCTCAAGCTTGCCTCTAAGCCACCAGGATACAAAACAGAGGGAAACGACTTTTCCATAATCTTAAGTGATTTATTTTGCAGTCTGAATTCATCTTATAAAAATTTCAATGCACTTTGCAAAGTTTTATTTTGAACTACCTACGATGATGTGTCATACAATACATTTTTTCTCCTGGGATAACGCACTTTTTTTTTTTTTAGTATAGTTGTTTGATTTGTATTTTCGTTGACGAGCAAATCACCCGGCGGATTCCATTCTGTTTATCTTGTTT